GTTTTCAGAAATGGCAGCCAAGAAAGATGACTTCTCCGTCAAGAAAATATCTCCAAAGCTCGGTGGAGAAAGAGGAACTCGAAACCCTAATGGCCCAACTTCTTCGCACGACCTCGTCGAGCAGATGGAGTTTCTTTACGTACGAGTAGTCAAGGCCATGAACTACTCTAACCAAAACCCTATACCCCACGGAACTGTCGTTGAAATCACTTTCGGAAACTGCAAATCCTCCACAGCAACTCTACCATTTGGAGGACCACACGGAGACTGGGAACAAGTCTTTGCTTTCGACAAAACCAAAGGCGATGTCTTGTCGGTTACTCTCAAAGTCAAAGTCGTTCAACCCCAAAACAACCCTCACGACCCTCCTACGGTCATTACCGTACCTGTTGGCAAGCAAAATTTCAAGCTAGCCGCTGATATTCCGTCTAGGGTTCCTCCCGACGCAAGCATCGCGCCGCAGTGGTACACTTTGCAGAATACTGAAAACGGTTATCACATGAATCTGCAGATGTCGGTTTGGTTCGGTACACAAGCCGATGAGGTTTATTCAAAAGCTTGGTTTTCGGACGCGTCTCATGTGAACGCTAGTTGCGTGATCAATACTCGACCTACACTTTACCTAGCTCCAAGGCTCTGTTACGTTAGGGTTACAATTGTTTCAGGTCATGATTTGATTTCTAACGATGGAAAACGGCCTCCTTCGGTTTACGTGAGGGCAACTCTTGGTAAAACCGGTCTGAAAACTGGGGTTTCTTCTGGTTCGAACCCGTCTTGGAATCAAGACCTAATATTTCTTGCATCAGATTTAAATGGTACTGTCCACTTCGAATTAATCGACCGAGTCGATGATCAACACGAAGAATGCATAGGAAAATTAGAGAAGAAGGTCTCAGAGATGACTGCGCTTAAAGTCCCTGGATCCGCACCGGTTATGTTCTACGACATTAGACCACCGGTTAAAGTCGAACCGGCTGGCGATACGAGGCGGTTCTCTAGCAGAATCAGGATGAAACTATCGACTGATCAAGCTTACCATGTCACTGAAGAATGCAGCCTATACTCCAGTGATTACCGAGCTTTTGCTAAAGGGTTATGGCCCGGTGTGATGGGGAAATTAGAGATTGGGATTTTGGGTGCTACTGATTTGCAACCGATGAAAGACTCTCCAAAGAAGAGGAACGCTTATGTTGTGGCTAAGTATGGGAATAAATGGGCCAGGACTCGAACCATGGTCGAGAACTCGTCGCCAAAGTGGAACGAGCAGTATTCATGGGATATATATGACAAGTATACGGTCATTACCTTAGGAATCTACGATAATCAACAATTGCTAATTCGTAACCATGAGGTTAATGATGCTCCGGTCGGGAAAGTGAGGATTCGATTGGTAGACCTTGAGTGGGACTGGGTTTACACTAGTTCGTTTCCAATTCTGAATTTGGGAAGCAGTGGAGTGAAGAAAATGGGTGAGATCCAGCTCGCGATTCGCGCAACTAGTAACACTTCCTTTAAATTCGGTGTTCCGAATTATCCATTTCTTCTATATCCTTTCAGTTGGATGTTACCTAAAGCTCATTACAAGTCTCCAGTTTCGCATTACCAGATGGATGCTATAAGAACACAAGCAGTTGAGTTGAATTGCTTGAATCTTGCGAGAACAGAGCCGCCATTGAGAAACGAGGTCGTAAAGGATATCTTGAAACCCAAGAGTAAGAGCTTTAGTATGAGAAGAAGCAAAGCTAATTACGAAAGGCTTTATAAAACCGCTATGTGGTTGTATAGTGGAAATGCATGGATTAATGCAAACGTTAGATACCAAACAGACATGACTCCGAAAATATACACCGGTGCGGTCTTAGCTTTTTGTATTTGGGCCCCGAGCTGGATATGGTGGTTTGTGGTTGGGCATGTAATTTCGTGCTGCCTTGGGATTAAAATTCTTCAGGAAGGGATAAAGCTTTTAAACTCAGTATGGGACAAGTACATGCATGGGATCGAAACTCCTCCTCCTCCTTTGGTTCTGTATGATTTGAAGCTCTCGAA